TGTGTTTTCGTACACACCATCGTATAGCCTGTTCAAGAGTGTGATTCACAGTTCTCTTTTACATGGTGACAGTCGCTACTGGCAGCCAGACATCAGCATGTGCACTTCATTATAACGAGAATATATCCGATTATGAATCAATGACGTACAGTTCCATAGACGATAAGGTATCTGCGTCATTAGTGATGAGCTATTTTGCCTGGCTTTCCTCTGACATTTATTCAGCTGTTTTGCCCTATTCACGCCGACGCCTGCTATGCAGCTTTGTTCTAGTCCTGGTGCTCGCTAGTTAGAGCAGACTTCTCCACAGGCACGCTTCTCACGAGAGCGCCGGCACTGTTCTTGACTGTGCGGCTCATTGGCAGATTCGCCGGCCCGCTGGGCAGGTACTCCAGCTCGGGCCGTAGCTACAATAACTACTGGAACGGCTACGACGGTCGTTACGGCGGTACGGCCACTTATCCAGAGAGCTACGGCAGCTACAGCGGCAACGGCTTCGGCATCTACTAGAAGCATGTTTTCTTGCCCAGACTCAACCTGTTTTCTGTTGCAATGCCCTAAATGGACATTGTACGCTTGTTCTGAAGATCGATGCTTGACCTACAGTCAGTGCCATCGTCCACGAATGCTGACGTGTTGCGTGTCAAGGTGGTAATCGTATACGGTGATGCGTCAACAATACAAAGCTGTAAAATTGGCTCAACTGGCTTCGTTCCATCACAGTCATGTTTTGCCTCCACAAGCTGCCGTAAGCGTTGGCTCTGTTCAAGAAGACACTGAACCATCAATGCTGTCGCCCTTAAGACAGAACACTGCACGAGAGACGCCAGTGGGAAGCCCCGTTGTCAAGCAGAAACATCGCGACGTCGCGCAATGGGTGACTGTATTCACAGTTCAAACAGAGGCTGGCAGACCTCTGTAGTGTTCCACTCCCTGGTGTAATTACTCAGCACAAATAAGCTTCTCGAAGCGGGCCAGCCTCGTCTCGGTCACGGCTATGCTGAACTGCCTGCGACAAAACGAAATACCCCTTGCTTATCAAATGGCCATTGCGCGGGAATATATTGGGTTGGTTGCATCCAGATTGCGTTGAACAGCACAACATTGCAAACGCTCGGAGCATTTTGACAAATGTGGACAAACGGAATCGCGGAATTGCACCGCCTTAATCAACTAGCAATGCTCGTACCTAAAAGGAACGCATGCATATTGCACATTCTCTAGCGAGGAGAAGGGTATGGCTTGGTCCGAGCTAATGGTTCATTTGCAAGCCTATGACTACTGCATGTCATGCATCGTTCATCGAGTGGAAGCGACCATTCACATGTTGGATGCCATCGACGAAAATCATTCTCCGTTCACTGAATATGCCTGCCCTCAAACGGGAAAACATTCAAGTATTGCTACCAGGTTGTCTACCTATTCCCCTTCCGTTTTCGCCTAATGCTTCCTCCTCATGCCTAAAGGACGCTTTGCATCCTTTGACATCTCGCCGAAACGGTAACCTCTTGGAGACTATGTCATTAGTAGAATGCTTGAGTACTACCATACTGCCGTCGCGTTGAGTACGTGTGTTGAGTTTGGGACAGTTAGCAGTTGGGTGCGCTGCTATGGGTGTGGCTTTAGTTCCGACCGAGAGGCGGGGCGTAATTAAGAGGGGCGTTGCACTGAATTTCTTTCTCCTTCTGAACTTTTCGAATATTGCTAATGCAATTTTGACAAAACTACCTTTGGTATTTCACATAATATTTGATGGAAAGTTACAGTCCAGCTCTGTACTCTAGCAAGTGTTGAGTGCGCTTCAGCTGCTACGTGCACACGTTGTTACATGCCTGGCAGAATTGATACGAATTTGCTGCATTCTTAGCATGACCCGCTCTCTACCGAGAACCTGCCTGGCCCCGAAAGTCCGACATGGTGCAAATACTGACACCGTCTCTATTAGACCAAAGGGCATGAAGTAAAAAATATGAACCGACGTTAGTCACATTCATCGGTGCATCTAAACACCTAAATTACCGCTTAAAACAGGGCGATGCGGCACTCCAGACGTCGTGAGGCTGGGACTACTGTCTGACAATGGTCAGTCTTCCCAGCCGACGGTGTGAGCGTTGATAGTTCTGGCATTTGCAAAACGCTGCTGAAACGGCGCGTATTTATATCACGCACCGAGTGGCGTCACACGCCGTGACGTCATACACCAAGTGACGTGGGAATGTTTGGTACACAACCACCGCCTGACGTTGCTGTGACGTACATCATTGTGTTATCGATTAGCAGCCAGTAAATCCCTTTGGTTTGCTGGTAAAGAATGGCTTGGAGCTCTCCGTACGGCATTCTCGTGTAATGAAATGCTCGACTTGTAGATGTTGTCACGACGACAGAAAAACATATGCTGCTTAGATAGCAGCTAGTTGTCATATATTCATCGTAAGCTTTGCTTAAGTAAATAGGCAATGTTGAATTTGGTTGGTTGCTGCAGGTGCTGGGAAATATCGTTTCATGCTTTATTAAAAACATCTGACGATTTGACAGCCTTGCAATATTTGGCAAAAGCCTTTATGAAAGAGCTCATGGGCAGATCGGCTCCGTGACCTGACAGCAAGCCGCACGAGTAAACCAGGGCACTACTAGCTGAGCTGTCATTGTTACAACAAGCTTGTTACAACAATGCTTACAAGCTGACAGCGAATTGAAGCTGACGTTCAATGCACGCCTGCTAAATTCGTCAGCTGATGATGACGAACACCTCTATATAGGTGTCGGTATTAAAAGGAAGCAGCCTCTGCAGTGCTTCACAGGAACGTTGCCGCAAAAGCAAACTTGCGTCTTGAGCGGCAGTGAGCCATCGAGAATCGAACAAAGAAGTCACCCGAGTTGAAAAAGGCACTGATAAAAATATTCAGCATTGCTTTTAAGTCTGCATCGTTCTTGTCGTGCAGCGAATCATGCACAATACAGAACATTGACTAAGAACAGCATGCGAGACGAACTCATCCGCACATTTCTTAGCTCGCCACAGCTCCAACAGCTCACTTGCGAACTTAAACTGATTGGATCGGCCAATATATCTAACGTGCTGTAGAATTTGTAATCAGTTGAGGGTTTTCAAACAACTTCTTTAAATCCCACAGATGGAGCTTGATCTCAAAACAGGCTCTGGAGACTTTTTATTTTTTAAACTTTTTAGCTTTAATTTTAAAATTTGTGTTTTTAATTGAAAAAAATAATTAAATTAATATTTAAATTAAGTTTCGTTTAATCAGAGCGTGTCCGAATTTCAATCCCACGGCCTCAGTTGCATACACACATACAGGGCTGTTTCTACATCCTCCCGCCAAGTAGCCGCAGCCTCCGAAGCCAGAGCCGCCATAGCCTGCCGGCATAACCGTCGCACAACATAGGGTCGCCATAACCCGCCTACCCGAAGCCGTAGCCGGGACCGATGTCGGTGAATCGGTCCTGGTCTGTCGTCTGCGCCAGACAGACAACCGCCAGGGCTAAGCTCTCCGCTGACAAAGTGCCTACCTGGGGTAGTTCCCTACGACATCACAGGTGGCTTTGCCACACACAAGCGAATGTACTCCAAGACGTGGAAGCTGTTGTGATGCACTTACCGGCAGCGTGACGTGCGTAAGGCAGGGGGGAACGGGCCCGGGAAGGCCAGCGTGAGGCCGAAGACGACTGCTCGAGACATGACGGAGCTGCGGTTGGACTGAGCTCGGGATGACGTTCAGGTGTGTGTGTGTGTGTGTGTGTGTGTGTGTGTGTGTGTGGGTGTGTGCGTGCGTGCGTGCGTGCGTGCGTGCGTGCGTGCGTGCGTGCGTGCGTGCGTGCGTGCGTGCGTGCGTGCGTGCGTGCGTGCGTGCGTGCGTGCGTGCGTGCGTGCGTGCGTGCGTGCGTGCGTGCGTGCGTGCGTGCGTGCGTGCGTGCGTGCGTGCGTGCGTGCGTGCGTGCGTGCGTGTGTGTGTGTGTGTGTGTGTGTGTGTGTGTGTGTGTGTGTGTGTGTGTGTGTGTGTGTGTGTGTGTGTGTGTGTGTGTGTGTGTGTGTGTGTGTGTTGTGGTGGTGCCCATACTCGACACCGACCCTCCACATGCTCTGGAATACCGCGAGGGCAGCCATCGACCTTGACCTGGCGCGAGCTTCTGTCAACGCGCGGGCGCTCGCACCATGTCAGGAGACCATGATGAGCTGTTCGCGTGCTTCACCACAGGCATGCACAGATGGCGGGGGGGGAGGGGGGAGGGGAAGGGGGGGACGTGACGGCCGCACGTGACAGGCGGTGCTCTAGCAGCGGTTGTCAAGACCCGGACTCTCAGCTGAGGTTTGAGGCTCGTGTTCAGCGGCCGCTCGGAACCGCAGTGGCGGTCTCCTCTCGTGCATTCCATTGACAAGGCCGTGCGCAGGGGCGGGGTCGGGTCATATTCGGAAACGTTATAATGCTGCATGAGGAAGTACATTCAGGGCAATGGAGGAGGCAGGGTTCAGAGGTACGCCTTTGATTGCCAAATAGCTTGCGATGAATCTGAGTTCTGCGACTGATGGTGATTTCGTTCGTCCTATCCCTCGCTCTAATAGCATGAGTTTTCTCAAAATCAGCACACCGGCTTAGCACGAGCTCATGATATTTCTCTTCTCGCAAACAAGGCAGGAGGGCGCAGGACTTCAAGGGATTTCAGCGCACCCTGGTGACATCAAGCATTGGCGGTTTCATCCTGATTTAGTGGCTTCTCCCTCCTTGCTGATCTCCTATTTTTAATGTTGCGCATGGTGTATCAGATTCCTCTGTCATATGCATTTCTTCTCGCAGTCTCATTGGTTTGATCGTAGCATTTTCTCGCGTTTATTTCAAAGCAACGAAACATTGCCTACATTCGGCGCATTGTTGGATATATCGCTTTCCCCCACGCTGAAGAGTGCCAAGATCCGCGATAAAACACCGCAACACTTCTCTGACTGGGCCACTCTGGGAATGCGGCCCGGTTTGCCAAGACACCGATAGAACTTCGGCATTCGGCGCCCAATTAGGGTTCAGCGCATCTCCGCCCAGTTTCCACCACTTCCACCACACGTCAGATTCACCATTAGCGCGGGCGAACGAATCGTCGCAAAAGCTGAAAATATCTACAGCGGTACACACAGAAACCAGGCGTGACTACACGCACACACGTATACACACGCGTGGGACTACCTGCACAGCAGCGGTGACCCCCTGACCTCGGCTGAGGTCACCCCTCACGGGGACGTGGCCTCAGGTTACTCGGTAGGCTGGGCCGGTGGGGTCGGCAGCGGGTACGGGCTCTGGTATGACGCCACGAACGTCCTGATCTCCATCGGGTTCAGGGTCACCTGTCAAACATGAAACGTCACCAAAATTAACAGATCTGCTTTGTTGTCGCCATTAAACTTACCTTCAGCACTACTCGCGTCGTCTTCCGTTGGGTTATCATGAAGAAGGGCATGCTAGAAATATCTTTAGGGAACTGATAAACTACGTTACGGTTGAGGCAACTCACAAGCTACCTTACGGTGAGAGCAACTCACAAACTATCTTACGGTGGACAATTGTGCATGCGCATGTCAGTATCGAGGTATTGGTCGCTGTCACTTGCCAGCTCCCCTGCTGTCTTGCCACGCCAGCTCTCACACGGTTTGCCTTGGAACGAGCAGCAGCCCCGACCACATCTGAGGCCGCCGCTCACACGGTCGTCGGTCCAGGAGTAACAGCAGTAGCAGCAGTGGCAGCACTAACAGCAGTAACAGCGGTAGCAGCCTGATCAGCCACGCACCGTGAGCGGGTCGTGCTCGGCGCCGGTGCTGCGGTACACCTCGTGCGCGGCGCCCCGGAAGTTCTTGGGCAGCCGGTTGGACTGCACGTGGTCCCAGTGGAGGCGGTTGATGTCCTTCAAGGGGCGGTCCGCCGACAGGCCGAACTCCTCCACTGACGTCACGTTCAGCGTGGTGAACAGGTCCTGCGGTGCGTGTTGGAGACCGACTGTATTTCACGTTGACTTGTTATGGGATAGATTAGGTAGAATTTCATCCACCTCACTTCACCAGGCTTCTGTCACAAAACTGCATGACAGGAATGACATGAATTACACGGAAGAAGACAGAAATGAAAAAAACTATTGCGGAATGCTTTAAACATGCAACTGCTATCATGTTTCAAGCGAGTCTCTGCAAGTAAGTTATCACTGCGAGACCGAACAATGCGCATGGGAACCTGAATACATATCAAAAATCCATTCCAGCACCCTTCAAAGGGTTTCGCACATGGAAATACTGCTGGATCGTGTAATCCTGTTTTGCATGCGTAAAACCCACACAATACAAACGATGTTCTCGGAAAGGATTGCGACCGACACGGGTGTGTGTTGCCACGCCTCAGCTGACCTTGAGGTTAACGTCGACAGGTTTGCTGAGCGTGGGATCCTCGTCGGCCTGGAATTGGTGCTCCAGTCGGATCAGCAGCTGGTTCGGTTTGTACATCTCCAGCGTCAGCAGGTGCACGTTGGCAGGCAGCGGCTGCATGCCTGTGAACTGTAGCACACAGAGCTGGAGCTAAACTGGAGACACTAGCCCGCCACGCCTGTGAACTGCGGCACGCAGAGCTGGAACTAAACTGGAGACACTAGCCCACCATGCCTGTGAACTGCTGCACACAGGGCGTTGGCTGGTCGTTTCACTTATCGTGAATTGTACATAGCATGGACATCACATCATTGACAGCATACTGTGATGTCCGGCACACTAGCCATATTGACAGCATACTGTGATGTCCGGCACACTAGCCGCATTGACACTATACTGCGATGTCCGGCACACTAGCCACATTGACAGCATACTGTGATGTCCGGCACACTAGCCACATTGCGCAGCAAGGATCGGAGTGACATGAGGTTCTTGTTCGGCAGGAATCCTGCGGGGATTTCGCCGCTCGCTCCACGCGCTCGCACCACGCGCTCGGCTCGCCCTGGCAAGCCATCACACGGCCCGCCCCAGCATGCGGCAGGGACCGCAACCGAGCGGGGCGTCGGCACTGGTGCGTGATGAGCGAGCCCCATCCGTTCTCATAAGACCAGCCGCTTGCTTACCTGCTTGATCACCTTGGCGCTGCTCCACATCTCCGGCGTCATGAAGTCGGCGGCGGCGAAGCTCAGCTGGGGCGCCATGAACATCTGTTCTGCGAGGTCACGGTGCAGCTTGGGAGCGTCGGCCGGGTCACTGACCACCACCCAGTGACGACCGCGCACCACCAGACCCACGCCGAACTCGGTCTCGTTCAGCGGCTCGCCCACGCCGAACGCGTCGTCCTGCACCGTGCGGCGGTGCAGCTGGCGGAGGAGGTAACGCGTCAGCCATGGGTCAAGGGTGAGTCAGTGGTCACTTCCGACTGACTACTGAATAACTGTTACGTTTTATGGGTGGGCAGGGATTGGGCTGTGCTTAAGCAGTGAGTGCCTGTATATGAACATGTGAGATATTGCTGAAAGAGTTATCAGGCGCATTTACTAAGCGTATATCGCACAATGATGAGTGAGCATGGCGAATATCGATCACCTGCTGGGAGTTTCACACCACCGTAGGGCAGGAGTCACCGATGACGTTTCCACTGTATTCTCAGGGGAAACGACAGAAAATAAGTGCACACATCCCTGCCCTGACCGAGCCCGCTCGCGCCCCCGCGTGGCGCGGCCAGGACACGGAGACTACTTCATCTAGCGGCCAGCAGCTGAACTATAGCCGTGCTGCCAGTCGCCAGACAGCGCCTCACGATACAACACGGAGAGCGCTGACTACCGGTTATGTGCATGCGCGATAAACATTGCAAGAACATTTGTTTAGTGCTTGGCGAATATCGAGCTAATATTCATGGCATTTGGAAACAACCAGGAGCTACGAAATCGCTTTAGATATCAGAATCTGAACACCGCTAGTTTCAATTTTTGATGTTGGTGGATTCATTATACCGACGTGTTATTAAGTATGTCCCAAAATAATAAAGCTACCTTGTCGGGGCCCAAGCAACAGCCAATGCAACGAATACGATAAACAAATACGTGTAGATCAGAAACGTACCGCAAAATTCTCATAACTTCCGCGTTGTTTATTTCTTCCTTCGCACAATACACTGTCCCGTGCCTTGCGAGTGCTACCCATCGAGCGCGCGGCCCGACCGTGGCGCCACATACCATGAGTTCCACCTGGCCACTGGCGAGACTGCTGCCACCTTGCGATCGATCGGTGAGTACGGTTAGCTGGCTGTCGGCGTCTTTGATGAAGATTCGGGAATTAACCGGGAAGTAGTTTCCGGCCACCGGCTCCGTGACGTTCAGGGTCCACGTGTCACGGTGGTTGCGACGACCTGGAGTCATACCAAGCGTTGCAATCGGCAAAACTTCACACAGGGGACTACCGAAACCTGGTTCGAGACCCGAGCACTGCAGGACTTTTGCACTCCATATTTCGTGACAACCGGTATGAAAAGCTGACCTTACGGTAGTAAACAAAGAGGTCACATGCGTCGATTAATTGGCAAAAACAATAAAAAGTCACTACACAATTCATATAAGGAAGTCATCGGTCTATCATCGATCAGTCCAGCCCAGTCCAGTCCAGTCCAGTCCAGTCCAGTCCTGTCCATCACCACCAGTTCACCAAGTCAGTATGTGACTCACAATGCTAAGCACTCCGCGGGCATTCAGGATGTAGTTCACGAGTGCTGGACTCAACGGCCCCAACAGCCCAATCTCTGCCCACGTGCAGCCACGAAGTGTGACGTGCAGCATTCATATCTCACCGCCATCACGCGAGACTAAGCTCGATGTTAGTTTTCTACGTGAAGATGCATGTGGCCGGAGATACATGAAGATACGCTAAATTATAAATCTGGAAACAGCTTGACTGGGATATGTATTGCTTTGAGAGTAGTGTTCCGTTCCCCGTGTCTGCTTCGCCCATATTTATTCGTCAGTTGTGTACGCTTACGCTTCATCATCTGGCGTCCGTTGGAGTCTGTGTAGAAGGTGTCGGTGGAGTTGACAGCGCTGCTGAAGCGGCTGATCACCTCCTTGGCCACACCGTCCCTGGCGATGAAAATAATGACGGCGCCGTTTCGACCGGGACTGGTTCACATAGTGCACTGCTTCGAGGCCAACAAAATGCCTCAGGAAGCGAGCATGCGTTGAGGTAACGGGTGTAGTGGTGAATCCTCCGAAGTACTGCTTTGTTTGGTTTGTCCCTGCAACTAATGGTCCCCTCGGAGGTCCGGCAGTATGGACTGTGTAAACTACTATATAACCTCCAGCACATATTGCCTCATGTCGTTCCCAAAATAGAACATTCTGCCAAGCTACAGAGACTCGGCGCCTAATACAAAACTACCCAGCATCATTGCGTTCAAGACCGCTTGGACCAAGGGCTCGATCAAGGCAAGACATGCAGTTTTGGCCTGGTTCAGGACGTGATTCGAAAAATCTTCACCACGAACACATCAACTAAATGATAATTTGCGGCCAGAAAAGAGCAATGATTAGTGCACGGCTACAACTTTTGATCACCGATGGAATAATTGTTTGCACTATTATTCTCGTCTAGGGCCTTGGTATGTGGCACCACATTGCAGCTAGACAGTTCTCCGACTGTCGTCGGGTGCTGACATCTGACGGTGGCCGGAAACATTGCAGCTAGACAGTTCCCCGACCGTCGTCGGGTGCTGACACCTGACGGCGGCCGGAAAATCAACTGATCGAAACATAACGTACATACTAACATACCAGGCAAGGGCACAGTCAGAGCAGGCATTCCACCCGTGCCACTAATGCCTCGTCTCAATAATTCCGTAAAACTACAAATGTTGAAGTCTCAACGGGCCAACACCGTCGCGCAGGTGCAGCCGACTCACTCGATGGGAATGGGCCCGACCATCCACTCGACCTCAGCGAAGGGCTCGTCTTTGTAGAGCCGGGTCACCTGGGAGACCCAGTCCATGTCGAACGTGTGTCGGTACTCCTTCACCAGAGCTCCGTCCAGCGTCACCACCGACTGGAAGCATAGGGTCAAGGTCAGGTCGGTGGCGGGCTCTGTGGTCACAGGATCGGCGAGACGGGGCTCGAAAACTGGGCTGACAAGGGCTCAAAAACTGGGCTGACAAACGCAGACAGGTGTCGAGTTTGGACGAGTATGTGCGCACAAAGTAAAAATATGTACGATGTCAAGGACATGCTCATTAAAGTGTCCACATTTTACCTCCATCCGTATTTCGTTGCCACCAAGGCCAAAGCCTTTAGTGACAATTTGTCTTCATGAAAAGTGTTTCGAAAAGGCCTTTTTGCATCAATCTAATGACTATGACACAACTATCTCACTCAGACAAATGAGGAAAACCAGTTTGCAAGGTTCGACAAAAAATCGATGATTAAAAATCGCCGCAAAACAGCGAAACATTACATTCCTTTAGCAGCCCAAGCAAAACCCTCCCGATGCGATGGCGATTTGGGCAGCTAACCCTTGGGCAGCTAACGCTGCCAGCTTTTTTGGGCACCAGTTACCGAGACCTACTGAGCTAGGTCACCAAGTTACCGTGACCCGCTGAGCTAGGTCGCCCAGTTACCGGGATCTGCTGAGCTAGGTCACCAGTTACCGAGAGCTGGTGAGCTAGGTCTCCCAGTAACCGAAGCCTGCTGAGCTAGTTCACCAGTTACCGAGATCTGCTGAGCTAGGTCACCAGTAACCGAGACCTGCTGAGCTAGGTCACCAGTTACCGAGAGCTGCTTATCTAGGTTGCCAGCAACTGAGACCTGCTGAGCTAGGTCATCAGTTATTGAGAGGTGGTGAGCTAGGTCGCCAGTTACCGAGACCTGCTGAGCTAGGTCACCAGTAACCGAGATCTGCTGAGCTAGGTCACCAGTTACCGAGAGGTGGTGAGCTAACCTTGGCCTCGATGGCTTGAGCCTCGCCCTTGGGGTTGAAGATGTAAGCGCCCGTGGGCCTCTGTGGACGCTCCCACTTGGACCCACTGGCGTTTCCGTAGCCTTCATACCACATGAAGGTTTGGTTTACCTGAAAACGGCGCCAGCCACTTATGAAGGCTGGTTACGCGGATTAGGAAAACCACTGGATGCACGACGCAGCAGAAGATGACGCGGATGAAAAACGCACAAGCCGTTAGAAAGGCAAAAGTGCATGTGCCCAAGATTATGTTGATTCGAAAATATCTGAACCGGATTCACTTTTAACTCAACGATCGTCCTATTTACCGTATACAAATATTTGACTTTTTGTACGGAGTCCGACATGTGCGAACACGCTACACGCCATCACACGCCAGACCAACCTGAATGTCAGCCTTCCCGGCGCGAACTCTGCCCAGCCGAAGGGTCTCCGGGTCAAGGTCAAGGGTCACGTGACCATTGGAGAGGCTCTGCAGGCCGGGCCGCTCAGTGGACACCTGAGAGGTGGCAGCACCCGGGGCTGGCTGGATGAAGTACCCCCTGGCGGTCAGGCGAGGGGCGTGAGCCTGGTCACGTGACCAGTGACGTCAGCGGAGACGCCTGAGATGATTAGACAGTCAATAACTACGCTGGTGACCATTTGGAAGGTCTCATAGCTTGGGTTGTTACTTACAATCGCTGGGTAGCCCAGAAAGTGAAGCAGTCCATCAACACTTGTCAGCACCGACGTGATGACTTAAGCGAACTATCGGATTCGGGAAAACTTGGTCTGAGCCTCAGGCCAGTAAACAGTTCACAGCCGACGACCAGGACCAATGCGGATGGTCGATAGAAGCCCATTCTGAGCACTGCCAGTCTAGCATGTCCATAGCCGACCAATGCCAGAGGCAGGCCAGTCCGTAGCTGCGGGGCATCTTCAAAGTCAGGGACTGTGAGCCCGGGCGACTGATGATGATAACCAACCACAGCGACTGCGAAAGCACGCGTAACGGGCATGTCCAAAGCCGCAGTCCGCTGCTCCAACACCGGGAGCGGGGGCTCACTTGAAGCCGAGTGGCGGCAGGTCAGAGGCCTGGAACACCAGCTCGGCAACGGCCGAGGAGTTCCTACCCGGTAGAGACAGCACCTCGGCCGGGATGGGGCTCAGCTGGGAGGCCACGGCCTGACCTGTGACGCACCCGGCGGTGTTAGAGGGGGGGGGGGGGGAAGGGCTGCGGCAGACAGCGGGACAGCAGCGAAACGATGTGCCGTACGGCCGAGCGAACAAGCTCTTTTGACGACTGCTTTACAGTGACTTGGTGGATGACTTCCACTAAGTATCAAGCTCGAAACGCATTGGTGTTATTGCTGCGAGCGACGAGACATTCACAGCACTGATGGGAATGTGTTAAGACGCAAATCAACGATCTCTCAGAGGACAGCGTGGCAATGTGCAAACGAAGCCCAGCAGCCTGCCCTGCAACGCTGCAAAGCACGGAGCTCTCAGTGCTGTAACGAATGAGACCTCGATATCAACAAGAAATGCTTTAAGCTCCTAGTGTTTTGCCATTATGAGTTTAGAGTCATGCTAGTGGCTGGGCAGACACTCCCTGCTCAGGCGCAGCCATTAACGGTCGGTGGTCTTAGTAATAAGCATGAAGTTTTGAGCATAGATGATGTGAGCAATGTTCGCCTGACAACGTCGCTTAACCGGCATCTCACGGTATAATGCGGGTGCACGGCTGCCAGAGCACGGACTCTCATCTCAGAGTGATACCTTCTGTGCAGCCATCGGTTGCTAGTCCTCAAACCAAAGCAGCGACTGTCCAGGTGCTGACCTACCTTCCGGATCCAGAATGGTGTAGGCATCCCCGGCCACCGGGATTCGAACCCAAGGACTGACGCTCCGTGACAACGGGTTGTACACGTACGCCACGAACTTGCCGCTCTGCTCGGTCACGTGACACACCGACGTGTTCAGATGATTGCAGAACGTCTGCACCGGCAGGCCCGCCCGGCTGCGGGCAGAAGGGGTTTTGAGAGGTGTTATGCTGAAGGCCTTCGCTCTACTGACGGGCTAAGAATAATCAAGCACGGCAGAACTGGATGCGGGCAAGTGGACCGTGCACTGAACATGTCGTGTGTTCAGACGAGTATCCAACTTAAAAAAAAATATACAGCGCGAAGAGCAAAGAGCCGAGTGCGAAGTCTCCTTCAATGATAAGCTGTGCCCAGTTCAGCATCGCTAAGCATCGCGGCAGTAAGTGGCGCGATGACGTCACACTGGGTATTATGACGTCACTCACGTCAGCGCGTCATTGACGGCGCCCTGGCAGGAGTCGGTGGCTTCGCTCAGGCGCTGGATGTAGTCATTGGCTACGTGCTGTTTCTCAGTGCCTGCAACGATGTCACCGCGATTACCGGCATTGTCAACGTCACGTGCTTTCGAGGTCAAACAAGGTCATCACGTCGTGACCAGGCAGTGCCAGCTGGGCAACGGTTTTGATCGATCTCATTAATGCAGCTGAGTGAGTGGGAACAGAAGCATATGAGGTTTGTCTGCAGCCCATCAACAGCGTTCCCTCCTCGCCGCAGTTGTTTATCAATTACAAACGTTTCCAGCGCTTTAGTGCCATAACAGAACATATACAAGAGAGGCTAATTCGTATTGGAAATAGAACACAACTGCGATCACAGGATATTGCGAACACCCTATCAAGAAACACTAGCTTTCTCTGAACGCGACGGTTCTCCCCCCGGAGTTTTTCCTTCTTTCATCCCCCAAGACATTCTCTCCCCCGTCAGCTAACAAACCGAAGGGAGCCGCACTAAGTCCCCACAGACTCGCCAGCGTCTGACACGGGTCCCTTCCTCGGCCTCCTTCACCTGTGACGGCGTCGTGGTGCTGGTTGACGCCCATAGCGTAGCGCAGATAGTCCACCCGGTTGGGAGTCTCGTACGTCCTCTCGGTCTGCATCATCGCCGTCAGCTGCTTGCACACCTTTGGAAAGGACATGAGCAGCAACGTCACGGTCTGCTCGTGTCATTATGGATATGAGGCAGGCGAAGTATACCAGCATGAATGAAGATGAGTCTGGCGGGTATCACTTCAGTCACGGTGCCCATCGAAAAAATATAGTCTCTTGTATGTCGGATGTGTAAGATGTTTTATTCGTCAGTGCACGCATGCTCAGCAAGTAATACCGAGTTGGCACGACTTACCGCGGTCATCAAACACGCCCGCATCATCTAGCGGAGTTCTTGTGGGCTGAATCCTTATCTCATAATAGTGAAATTTAAATAATCTTATTGATAAATAATAAAACATTCCTGTTTTTAAGGCGCACAACCACTCCGGCACCCTGCCACCTGAAGATGACGTAGGCGTGGTGACGTACCTGGAGGAAGTTGTTGGACTTGCGGATGTAGCCCTTCTGCGCGGGCCTGGAGGTGAAGTACCCACTCCAGTAGGCCCACGGATCGCTGGCGTACGGCATGAAGTCGTCCTGGAGCGTGTCAAGGACGTCATGTTGCATCGGATACGGATCCGCGGATCATCACTCAAGTGAGCGAAACTTTGGGATTACATCAATGCAGACGGACAGCGCTGAGATTTGAGGAACTCGATTGGCACACGTGATTCACGGTAGAAAGAGGCAAACGTTTTCCTGTGGGTCGGGACTAATTACTATGAGGCTGATAACTGTGCGTGAAAAACCTCTCACGTTGGACGCATCTTCGTCTTCTGGTCCGGACGCACAGAATACGCCCAAAGCTTATTTACATGATGCACAATATAATACCTGAGATCTGGCAGCTAACGCTTTGGTTCGTTTCTCAGGCACACCTGAGATCTGGTAACTAACGCTTTTGTACGTTTTTCAGGTACAAATAAACGACAGCACCAGTGTTCGGTCATGTCTAACTGCTTTGGCAGTGAGGAGTGTTGAATCATTGGGATGACGAGAAGAAGCCGCTGAAACCACAGCTGAAACTGAACTGCTTGAGCAGGAACACGAACAACAAAAATACTACGTATACTACAAGTAATAACAATAACAATAAGTGTATTAGTAATACGAATAATGCTAATAACAATAGCGGAAACAATAGCACTGTTCATAATCCTCATAATAATGATGATTTCGTGTTGTCATCGGGGTTCCACGACGCACTCGTTTGCTGAGGCTATATGGCGTCGCCTGCCTCTCACCCTGGCAGGAAGGGCGGGCACAGTGGGGAATCGAACCCTGCACCTCTGGTTTCCCAGAGTCGCAGTGGTTAACGCACGCGCGTTTACCACAACGCTATCGCCCCGTGATCATCTCATGATAGGATAACAAGAACAACAGTAACAATAATAATAACGACAATACAGAAGGTTCCCATGCAAGAATCCCATTGCAAATATCATTTGAGTGGCATTCATACCTCGACGGTGGGCCAGACCAGTTTGGCGTCGTGCAGGGACTTGAGGTAGCAGGAAGGCGTGGAGTAGAACACGTTGACCTTCTCACCGCCGCTTTGGCGGGCGTTCACGTACCTGGAGAACAGGACCACGTCTCACCACTGAACACTTCGGATGGTGCACGACATAGGAGATTAATTCACCTGTGATGCTAGAAATGAATTAGTGATGAAAAAAACAGAACGCAACCATACTGAATTCGCAGTTTTTCGCCAAGAACGTCGTCACGCTATGACATGGCCTGTACAATTTATTGAAAGTAAACAAAGAAAGCATGAAAAATTAACCCAGGTGAACCAACCAGCTTACAGCAATTCTTTGCATTGACCTGACAAAAATACGATATTTTAGTGGTGTACTTTATGCCTTCATTGTCATAAGTATGTCTTCAACAAGCTATCATCCTGCCACAGCACTTCCCTGCACTGAACTGACAAAAACAACCACAGTAGTTTAGTGGTCTACGTTATACCTTCATTGCCATAAGCATGTGTTTAACAAGCTATCATCCTGCCAAGTCTCCCTGGAGCCGCGCTCGGCGTGAGGACGAGGTTCCAGCTTGGAGCATGCTCGCAGATCACTGCCAACAGGCCTACAGCGGTGCCAGCAAAAGAGCTCTCGGTCTTGACATTTGGCCAGAAGCGCAGAAGCCCTACACTGCTGCATTAGCGCATCAAGCTCGCGAGGGGACGGCCATAAGCGCAGAAGCCCGACGATGCTGTATTAGCGCATCAAGCTCGCGAGGGGACGGCCATAAGCGCAGAAGCCCTACGCTGCTGTATTAGCGCATCATGCTCGCGAGGGGACGGCCATAAGCGCAGAAGCCCTACGATGCTGTATTAGCGCATCATGCTCGCGAGGGGACGGCCATAAGCGCAGAAGCCCTACACTGCTGCATTAGCGCATCAAGCTCGCGAGGGGACGGCCATAAGCGCAGAAGCCCTACGCTGCTGTATTAGCGCATCATGCTCGCGAGGGGACGGCCATAAGCGCAGAAGCCCGACGATGCTGTATTAGCGCATCATGCTCGCGAGAGGACGGAAAGGCCCAGCTACCCTGAATTGGTACGACCTACCTATAGACAACATCTGCACCCCCAAAAAGGGATCGCGCCACCCGGGGTACGACCCTTATGAGGCTGTGACCTCACCTGAAGAGCGGTGGGAGGGCAAAGGGCCAGTCGGAGCGTGAGAACATGCCCCTGAGTAACAAACTCCTAGCGGGCTCTTCAGCCAGGCGCGTCCACCGCGTGAAATCGTGACCTTATCCTGCTGCGTGTGTGCTATCGTGACCTGTTCCTGGCCTTAGGACCTTACGCTGCTGCGTGCAAGGTAGCCCAGTAGGACCGTCAATAAGTGCGCTTCGCCCGCCGACAGCACGATACGAGCTTGGTTTCGATTCGATCGTTGGCTACCTTTGCACATTGCGATAGCTGACCATGGTGCCTACGTTACAGCTGAGGGCAGCTTGGCAATGACGCCTATTTTAAGAAAGGGGACAGGACGCACGTCGTCGTGGACCCTTCTATGGGGCACCAGCGACTACCATGGTTATATAATGGAGCCGGGACCATGACGCTAGCAGGATTCGAACCCGGACCTTCCGCGAAGGAGCCCTGGGTTGTAACCACTCAGCTAATACCCCCCCCCCCCCCCCCTGATGTAGTTTAGTGCAAGTACTGCAGCGCATGCGCTGACATCAGAGGTGCGCATCAGTGATGTGTTTATGAGCGCTTGAACAATCCAGTTGCCAGTGGTTAAGAATCACTACAGCGGGCTGCCCGTAATCAGAGGCCGTGCGCGGAAAGCATCCAGAAGAACCAGGGCACTGCGCAACCCATGCACAGACCATTGCGCACATGCGCGTCTGAACAAGCTTATGCAGGGTCTTACGGACGTCTCAAAATCACTCCACTGATACAGAGAGCAATGCACTCACTTGATCAGCTTGTCAAGGTTTTTATACCAAACGTGAGCGTCCTGATACTGGAAATCGCTGCCCATTGTCATGACGATGTTGTTGCTCTTGTACCATTTACTCTGCTCCTTCGCAGCTTTCAGAAAATCGTTGACCTGTGGTCGACACCACGCTTTGATGATTTAGCCGCACTGAGCCAATTACCGTGGACCTGCACACCGCACATTGGCCAGCTTACCTGGCGGGGCAAGGCATTGTATTATGTTTTTCAGCTGAGCGGGGGTAGCTCGGCCATACATTCAGCGCCACGGTGCAGGTGTGAAGAGGCTTTGCGAGAGGACTACGGCCAAGGTGCCGTAATAGAACAATATGTTGCTATGTTTGGCGGTCTAATCCGCTGATATGGCAAAGGATCGCAAAGAATTGCTATGTTCACTATACTGTAACGAATAAGCAGGTGATCCATTTTTCAGAGCTCAACTAAACAGTATAAGACGTCCATAATCGCTGTTGATGCCCTGAGCGGTGGTGGTGTTTCACGGAGGCCTTTTGATTCAATACACGGCAAGTAGTGGGATGAAAAAATAAAACGAAAAATTAAAAAATACGGAATATATTCCGAATGACGTCAACCAATCCGACCAAACCAACAAAACTACTAAAGAAGACGACCTGACGTATGCACGTGCATTTTCATGATTTATAGTGTGACATATTCCGTCGTTGATGGTGCTCCTTCCCTAACTGTTATCCACTGTCATACGGAGTCTCGCTAACTCGATGCCCGTCTTCCACGTGAACGCACAGCTGTTCAAGCAGCTATGAGAACATAGCAACATTTCAGCACGTGTCAAACAACCGGCATGCTGCCATTCCCAAGAAACTGCTCATCCGTTGTAAATGCAAGAGGCTGCAGGACCGCACACGGCCTCTAGCAGACAATGCCAACGAGGCCAGGCGCCGTCCGGTATCTTATCTCACCCCGGTGAGGTCAACGCCTTGCAATGTGGACGGCCTCCGGACGACCGATAACAGGACGACGGTCCCACATCGGAAACCCCGACGAGCGGGCAAACATTCTCAGATAAGAACGGTGCGATGCAGCCGTCCCCAGCTGAGAACGTTCGATACAGACATGACGGATGCCCCGCGGCGGGTCGGTTGCTCGAACTGGGGACCCCGCTGGAGGGCACTGGATGGCCTCCGACACCAGCTGTTCGATGCCAGTGACCCTTCACATTCCGTGTCTAGCCACTAGTGTATAGTTTAACACAAATCACCGGGAAGATGGCGGACCATTCGGGAATGAGACGTCGATTTTTTTTGTATTTCTGGTACGCTTTGAGACGGTTTCAGCCTCATACTTCTGTGGCAAGGGAAGCGTTGGACGTGTCAACTGCGGCAGTGACACCAAGCTCGAATCATGCGTGGCCGTGACAGGTGTGCCTTGAAACTTGTTTGCTTGTTGTTGTCTGGTCAGGTTCAGTGGAAACTGATTCATCAGCTACAAGATGTGGGGGAATGTGCCGCCGACGTAACGGTTATGTCTGGAGGAACACTGACATCCTACAGAGAAAAGGATTGCTGTCAGATTTGGAAGCTAGCTGTATTTTGTGAACTAAACAGTGCCAGTAAATTATCGAAACGTTGTGAAATGCTGCGGCAAATTAACACCAGCAGAGCACGAAGAAGCACAAATAAAGCAGTCTGGAGATAATACAAGATGCGGACATTACCCACACAAAGCCCGTATTAATCAACAGTGTTAGTGACCCAACGCCAAATTAAGTCCCAGATAACGAGTTTTAGAGTTAATAAAACACATGAAGATGGCATACTTGATGAGCTTGTCCATGTTTTTAAACCACATGCCGGCGTCTTGATAATGAAAATCTTCTCCCATTGTCATGACAATGTGGTTCGTCTTAAACGACTTTGCCTGCTTCTTGGAATATGCAATAAAATCATCCACCTGTAAAACAATCAGGTTGCATACAACCATGAGGAGAGCGAGCTAATATGAAACCACATGCCGACGGGCTGCTCAGACAATCGCGATTTCTGCAATTCAACATTTTCCGTTAACAACTGGCCACGCTGTCCTAACTGTACGCAACTGCGCCCGAAATGCGTCAGGCAGGAGGGCACTGTCCACAGGGAGCGTGATTTTTGTAATGCCGGTGTGCTTTGCTGTAACGAATTAGCATTCGGCCCGAATAACTTATGTCATAGTGCGACTTGGAACCTTCGGCTGTTCGTCTTGAACCACCATGCTAAAATCGTGTATTTTTGCAGCTACTCGGAGTTCCAAGTGTTCAAGGAAACGTTTGATGTTGCAATACGATAAATAACCATAGACACGCGCATTTAATTTGTCCGAGGAATTAAAAAAACTACTTGCAATCACCGTTGCACAAAATCATCAGCCATTAACGCCGGGCCTGGCGTGCGGACCCACCTTTTCATCGACATTGTAATCTTTCAGCCGCTTGTCGTCCATGATTGGTTGGTCGTTACAATTGACGTCATAGCAGTGGCCGGGGGGCGGAGCGTAAATGTTGTAGAGGGCGCCCGTGAAAATCTCTCCAGTCTCGCCTGGGGCATCAACAGCAATTACGGCAAAACGGTCGCCACATGATAACGGAAACTAGGACGAAAGGAAGGCTATCAGGAGCTTTCAGAGCTGTCAGCTTTCAGAGCTGTCAACTTTCGGCTGTCTTGTTTGCTGGTGGGTTACTGAAGAAAAGACTGTCCTGCTGGAAGTATGCACGGTACTTTATGCGGTGTTTGTGATGGGTTACATCTGTTTTAGGTAGTTCTGGTTTGCACAAACATGCACAATGAATGAAATGGCGTTATGCTGGCATGTCATGTGTGTCAGCTCATCATATTCTATCACCTGAGAGACGTGACAAATGAGGCAGCGACGACAGTGTTCGAGCAGTTGTGCGTTGTTTGTCGAAGTCGATACTGTGTCACCTGATATCGGATAAGCTGCAGAGGGACAGTAAGAAGTGCCCTTTGCGCGCAGGACTTGGTCAAATCAGGAACATAAAGCAGAGGAAGGAGGAACACTGCATGCCGTTGCGCGGCGCCCACGGCCCGTTAGCGGCGTTACCTTCTGGTCCACATTATAATCATGCAGCCGGCGGTCATCCATGATCGGCGCGTCGTCGCAGAGGATATCGAAGCAGAAGCCGGACGGAGGCTGGTACATGTTGGGCAGCACGCCCGTGAACAACTCCGAGCCTGCGCTCCCAGCGTGTTAGAGGCTGGGCCGGATGGACCACGACCAATTCCTGGCAGTGCGCTTGGGATTCCGAGCCCGGAATGACCATGCGATGATTGCGAAGTGGGAAGAGGGTGGGCAGACGCGGATTTGAGCCTGCACACTGAGCGACGGCAGGTTCCATTTATGTATACGAGATCGGCAATGATGTGAGCCGAGGGTTGAAGCACAGGCTTCATGCAACGCAGATGACGTCATAACACGTGGTCAAGTGATCAGGTCAACGCCATAACAATGTGGAAGGTGGGAACGAGAAACCGCAGTGGATAACTCCAGGGGTGATTACTCACGGGTCAAAGGCAGTTGAAATATGCATGTTAAAGGGACTATGGCATACCAAACAGGGTTACACCACATAAGAGGTTTTCAACTCACAAGTTCCAACACAAAAATACTGTCGCTTTCGTAATATCGTTTTCTCACGCTTCACAATCACAAGGTCACCACATTTTTAAACAATAACGACATCGTAAAGCAGAGTGTTAACTGCTCTGTGTTAGAGCAGAGTGTTAATGTGCAGAGTTAACTCTTCAAACTTCAACTTCAACTTCAACTTCAACTTCAAAGATATCGGATTAATCTGGGGAAAAATTCCTAATATTCTTTGCGCTGGGCTCAAGAAATATTCGTCGATGAGTAATGCATTTAAAATACCGTATAAATACACTCCTAGCTCACCATAAATATCACGACACAAGAGACACTGATAGAGTGGTGCGCGAAGCACAATTTGTTAACTCATAGCTTAATGCAGGCTGTAGAGAAGTAAATGACTATCCTGACACCCGAGTACGCAGCGACTGGGAGAAGGGCGCACAGAGTACTGACCAAGGTCCTGACTGGCAAGCCACACCATCTCCATCTCCGAGGCGTTCATCCGCCGCTTCTTGTCGTCGTAGTCCAGACGGCCGAAGAAATAGCCGTCGAAACCCATCTGGGCAAACATGTTCGCCTGCGGAGAGGCAGATCCAATCAGATCGGAGGCGAGCATTGACAGATCCAATCAGATCGGAGGTGTGCATGGTCAGATCCAATCAGATCGGAGGTGGGCATGACCACCTCGGCACTGCTAACCTAAAACAAATCGCATCGTCCATCAAGAACAGCCAAAACGTATGCCTGTTTCGTTGAGTTGCGTTCAAACTGAAGAAACAATGGCGTCCGCACCGACCTCCGTCCAACTTTTTCTTGGAGCCCTGCCCCATTCAGGAATCAAAATCACAGTGATTGGAGTACATAGCATCACGAAACTATAGGGTGCACTTGCATACACACACACACACACACACACACACACACACACACACACACACACACACACACACACACACACACACACACACACCACACACACACACACACACACACACACACACATATATATATATATATATATATATATATATATATATATATATATATATATATATATATATATGACATATTACATGTCACATATTCACGGGCAAAATAGTCCACCTTAATATTCCACTCTCCAAACATGTTACAATGTTAAAACCTGGGGATCATATACAATATCGCAGGGCAACATTCCGTCACGAAGCCACTCGCATATTTCTGAGCCATGGCGCTGCTTAATAGTGCACTTCAGCGAACCCTGTACTAGAGGAACAGCTTACCATGGTGCAGTCTCCGTGTGTACGTCAGCGGATCCTGGACCGGAAGAGCGTCTCACAATGATGCTTTCCCCGTGTGTACGTCAGCGGATCCTGGACCGGAAGAGCGTCTCACCATGATGCCGTCCCCGTGTGTACGTCAGCGGACCGTGCACCGGAGGAGCGTCTCACCATGATGCCGTCCCCGTGTGTACGTCAGCGGATCCTGGACCGGAGGAGCGTCTCACAATGATGCTTTCTCCGTGTGTACGTCAGCGGATCCTGGACCGGAAGAGTGTCTCACCATGATGCCGTCCCCGTGTGTACGTCAGCGGACCGTGCACCGGAGGAGCGTCTCACCATGGTGCCGTCCCCGTGTGTACGTCAGCGGATCCTGGACCGGAGGAGCGTCTCACCATGATGCCGTCCCCGTGTGTACGTCAGCGGACCGTGCACCGGAGGAGCGTCTCACCATGATGCCGTCCCCGTGTGTGCGTCAGCGGACCGTGCACCGGAGGAGCGTCTCACCCTGATGCCGTCCCCGTGTGTACGTCAGCGGACCGTGCACCGGAGGAGCGTCTCACCCTGATGCCGTCCCCGTGTGTACGTCAGCGGATCCAGGACCGGAGGGCCGTCTCACCTGCTCCTTGGTGTGTCCGAACGGGTCGATCTGCCAGGCCACCCGAGGAATACCGCACGGCCCGAAGTGGTCGAACAGCGTCCTGGAACATGACGGCATCGGAGGCTGCGCTGGCGATCAACCGCCAATTCAACTCCCCGGTAAGATTTGGGGCTTGGTATGATGTCTAACGCGGGCGACTTGCGGAGCGAGTCTGCCACTGCCACTCAAACAGCAAGCGCGCTAAAAACCATCACACAGCAGACTTGTGCTCTCTGCCTGCAGCACTGTACTCAAACAGCAAGTGTGCTATTCACCATCACGCAGCAGGCTTTTGCTGTCTGCATGCAGCACTGCTGCTCAAACAGCAAGTGCGCTAATAACCATCACACGGCAGGCTTGTGCTCTCTGTCTGCAGGTGCCGAAGCCTCTTCAAGCGGAATGCAGCGCAGCTCCTTGCGTGCGGAGCCACTTATATTTCGTATTTCAGGTCCATCGAGTTCCTCGGACCGCCATCTCGTGAGCTACTGTCATTTCGTAAGCTACCATCCTGCACACCCATGCTGAGGGGGTATCGAACCCAGCGTACCTGCCCTGGGCGTGCAACATGCGCGATTATGGTCACGTTTTGAAGTGGCCAAGAAAGCGGCCACTATAGGATCTCCGCCTTCTTACTACATGCTACAGAGCCATCAGAGCATTACCTCTGCCTCCTCAGTACATTCTGCACATATAGCCGTGCCTGACGGGCTCCCTCGCCGCTGACAGCCCCCACCACGCCGCGGTGCGGAGACAATGGGCACCTTTTGTTTCGCAAAGGTTGTACTGGAATCCGTTTTCATAAGGCTCACGGCTTTAAGTGTGTGACAATAAAAACGATAAAAAACAGCGCATTGGCTATTAACGTTTTAGTGAAGTAAAGCGGCAGCAATTGGATTTACTTATCACAAACGACAGTTACCGGAATCGTTTTGAAAATGGCTGCTTTGAGGACGCAATGTCAGTTTCAAGACCTTGTCCTATTTAGATGTATTCTTTCAACTTCGTGCGCCAAACACCGTTTTCGCAAAGAATATCCTGGGCGGGCTATGGACAAACATATTCATTGACGACATGTCCACGGACTCGTTCGCAGATGGATGAAAGCGGTCTTGCCCGTCTAAGCGAATTACCGCACGTGGCTATGGCACAGAAGGCTCGACTATTTTCGTGCTAGGTAGCAATAAAGGGCATCGCTACATCATGCTTCGACCTTTGCTGATATTCCGGTTTGTCATTGCGCGATTGCAGAAGTTTTTTTTAGTATGCGTAGCGCAACGGTAAGATGACTCCAAGGTGGCGGCATGGTGGCCATGCAATTTTATAAGCTGCGGGCAGAAGCGTGTCGCGCGTCCAGTTGAAATTTGCGACCATTCTCAGCCTGTTAAAAAAATAAGTGCATCGGGTCATCACCCCTTGCATCTCTGTCAATATTGTATCTACATATCCAGGAACGCGAGAAAAAGGGTCCAGGGAGCTAGGGTGCTGAGCCATCGCCCCCGCCCCCCTCAGCTTTCTGAGAATCTAAGATTGACCCTTCGGATGTAGACTGGAAAGAAGAAAAAGCAAATTCAATCTGCCTCCCTCGAACTTGAGAGGGAGCCCATTATCTTGCAGTTACCAACTAATCAGCGCTCGATGTGGGGTTATCTGACATGATAAAGTGAACCCCTGAAGTCGTGGCCATCAGCTCACAGTGCTCTGTGCGGAAGGACGTTGAAGGCTGGTGCGCTCTACAAGAAGGACGTGTGCTCCCCAGCTCGGACCTATCGCCGGGACACCCAGAGACCGCGATGCTCTGCAGCGATCGAAAACTCCGGAAGTGGGCGTTGTGCGTGGGCTACGAAAATGTACTATTTGACTTCATGCAGATACTGGGATGGATTCTCAAAATTTCGCTCGAATCGTCGTTAGAACGTGACAGTGATGAATCAAAAGACGTGGATTCTGCCTACGTGTTGAAAGTTATCCGACATCATCACCAGGCACTGGCTTTTTTGACGTTGTTGTTTGATGTCATGATGCTCTGCGGAGTGAAAAAAAGAGCTGGCGCCTGATCGCGCCCTGGCTGATTTTCAATGCCATAGTTGTGTTTATCAGCCTCTTCGTAACAATCGCCGGCCTCGCAAGCGTCGTTCACGATCGTGATGTGTCATCAATCACACTGATGACGACCCTGCTCTGTGCTGTCATTTTCAAATGCTGCTGGTATGTAGTGGTGCTCATATACTGCTGGAGAGTCCTGCGACTACCGTCGAAGAAGAAGCCTACCCCGAAGTAAGCCTCCTAGGACAGAAGGACAAGAACAGCCCGGCAGCGAGGTGACCCCAGCGCCTTGGGCACACGTCGATGCGCCAAATTCTAATGTGGCAGCCGCCACGGCCGTAACTCCGCGACATCTGCAGGAATGACGTGGGTGACGCAACACCCAGCCCCGCTCGGACAGACAAAGGTGCCGACGGCCGCTCTCGGACAGTGCCGACGGCCCCGCTCGGACAGACCGAGGTGCCGACGCGCACCCAGAGACAAGCTAGGTCTGCTGTTTCCACATTCTCTACAGCACAGCCCAGTGCAGCGATGGGCGCAACGGCCTTTTGTCTAAATCGAATTTCGAGTTACGGCCCAGCTTGAGGTGGAAGTCCAGCACCTCTCCGCCAGCAGCTGTGTTATGTTCAGTCTCGTACTTAGAAGTTTCGAGTCCTACGCTGTAGAGTTTCCGAAAATGGTCAACTGTGTGCAAAGCGTGTAAATCCCTTAGGTACGTAACCATACTTTTTGTAAATATTCTGAAGTGTGTGCTGATCATGGCGACATGATATAAATAGGTTGCCGCCCACATCCTAGCCATAGGGTCACATCTGTAAACGTGACTGCTGTTCCCATCGCGGTTGATGGATATTGTATCGACTAGCGGTTAAGATGCGTAAGCCACATGTACAGGGTTCGATTCCCCGCGATGCCCGGCCTTTCTGCCAGAGTGAGAGGCAAGCGACGCCACAGAGCCTCGGCAGTTGAGCGAGTCGTAAAGCGCCCATGACGACAAATTGCTTCTATATATTGCTTGTTTGCGACAGTGATTTAGCTTTTTCATCAATAAGCGCCGAGCACTCAGGCAACTATCAGCCAGTATCCATCCTACCAACGGTTGCCCAGATTGAACAACGCGCTGCGTATGAGCCACTGCCAGACCAATCAGAATCCGCTGATAGCCAGCGATTAGCGGCGTACGGGTGCTAATCTAACGCCATCTGGAGTATACTACAGGAAGTAATGCTGAAATTATCTTCCACCAGGTAATGTTAGCAGGCAGTATGATGACATCATACCGGACAAGAAATGACAAATGTAGTTCACCCATTTAATCAGCCGGGCGTTTCCACGCATGCACGGAGAACGGATCAAACACCCGCCAAAGTCCGTCTCGGATCTTGATCTGCTGCGTCGCACGTGCCTATCCAGCACTTACTTTATCAAACCCGATCTTTTTCTATCACAATCGCCCACATGCCGTCTAAATGATTGTCAGAAAGCCCTGCTAACGGTATTCCAATAAATCGCAGCAGGACAACACACCTAATAAACAGAGTGCTATGTACAACATGACAAGATGTCGCAAGCTCATTTGAACACAACATATTTGCATTGTACTTCTTTATGCCCAGCCTATCCACGAAATGTCCAGCCACTCGTTCTTATGCATATACATTGTATACCGTAACACATTCATCTGTCTCCAATGATAACTCCTGTATTATTAAAGATATTTCTCTGATATTCAGAGCCAATCTAAACTCTGATTTATGATTTAACGGCAAAGGATGGTAAAGAAATCAAGCAAATAAGTTAATTATCGGCAGTTTTGGCCCTTTGGTCTGGTTACGTCAAGATTAGCAAAATTGCCAGCAATCATACAGCACAACTCGGAAAGACACAGCGTTCGATTTGAGTTCGAAGGATGGAGTCGCGTTTTCTTCTTGAATTTTGAACCGAACATCATCGATAGCTGTTGGTCGCGACCGCTAAACTGACCAGGAGCGACACGAGCAGCGCGCATCCTCTTCACACCAAACACCGTTTGCTTCGCCTCAGCTGCGTTCCACAGACACCGTTCTCAGATACCTATGTTGCGCTGAATGGCGTGAGCGCACGCATGGCTCAAAATCAAGTGGGAACCAAGTGAGAACGGTGAGAAAAATTGAGAGCGGAATCAAATGAGAACAAGATTAAGTGAGAGGCCGCCAAGCGATTCATCCTGACGTCATCCAGGGCAGATTTTGTTTTGGACACGTGCTGGGCGCTAAATGTTCCCAACTCATTCCGAGCGGCATGTGCCATCACGCCATGCTGAGCAGCATGTGCTCTCACGTCATGCCTCTTCACCTCAATCCGAGGGACGCTTGTCCTAACACATCCCAAACAAACGAACGCCCTCATCCCACTGCGGCCCCATTCAGAGCAACCCTGTCTTCAGCTGACATCGAGCTAAACATGCTCACATCCCATGACGAGCCACAGAAGGTCCGACATCATATCGAGTGGAATGTTCTCACCCATTTCCGGGCGACACGTTGCTTGCCTTGTACCGAACGACATTTGGAAGGCATATGGAGAACTTTGCTCAGCTAACCTAAGCCGACGCGACGAGACTCTGTGCTCTCAGGGTCACGAACGACATGTGTTCTCACCTTTCCCCGAGCGACAAATGTTCTCACCTCATGCCGAGCGACATTTGGTCGATGACGGCGTTGTAGTGGACGCAGGCCTCGTCGTTCATGCTCCAGCCGCCGCCGATAAACTCGAGCCGTCCCTCGTTGACGAGGTTCTCCACAGTGGCGATTGTCTGCTCGTCCTGCTGCAGGTACCAGCGCCAGAAGAACGCCGTCTCCACGTATATGAAACTGAAACAAGGTTCACGTCTCACTATCATTGGCGCCCTGTTGGCCAGATGGGCGAATCGGCCCCGGGAAACAAGACGTAACTGTATTCAGCCTGGCTGGAGGACACTAATGCTTAGACTGCACGGGCCGAACGGTCGGACGACAGACGGAGGACAGCCTAGGCGGTACAATGATTCAGGTGGGAGACAAACGCATCTTCAGGCTGGGGGCGGACGAACATCTTGATGCCAGGTGAACGAGTAGGCAGAGGGAAGGTTACCGATCGCGTCTGCGCTACATTTAAGTCCATTCAAAGCGAGATTAATTTCCAAACCTACGTGTGCGTTTTGTGTACGGGAAAGCCTGTGGGCGGATGAAGCCGATGACCGAAATCACATCGACTGAAACCGATGTGATATGTTGTTTGCAAGTACCAGACAGCTCCTGAAGTCTACTCCGAAGTAATAACCGCAAGTTTTGCGTAAGTGTTTGTGTAATGAAGGCCAAGTACGCATTGACACTTTATTTCTCTACATGTTTTAACAACAATTTTGCAGCATACGCATGGTTTATCGTACGTCACCTTAAGGGATAGATATCGTCGCATATAGGATGATTCAGATGATAATAGTATGTTTCATTTCCCAGAACCCATATCGCTTTCTTTGCTCACAATCAACCGAAGAACACCCGCGAGGATTTAACTGGCAGAGCATCACCTGACTCTGAAACACACGGGAACAAATGTATATTGACACTCAAGACCACTCCGTCGTTACGATCAAATGTATAATGACACTCAAGACCACTCCGTCGTTACGATCAAACTGCACAACGAGAGGCGCCAACCGGCTCTCTTCGAACCCCCTTACCGTTTCTCTGGATCCTTGACCAGCTCTTGTATCACCGAGTCCAGGATGTACTGAACGCCAGCCCGCTGGATCTCGGACTTGGCTGAAACGGCCGCATCAGTGACGCCATACACTGAACGCTAGCCCACTGGATCTCAGACTCGGCTGAAATGGCCGCACCAGTGAGAGGAAGGGGGAGTGGCAAAGGAAACGGATGCCCCCTACCTACCAACATCAGGACGCAAGAGTAGGTTTTTTCCCACTCAAAATTTTTGGAGGGCCCTTCCGAGTCAGCTGAAGACTTTGCAGGTACACGTGTCTCGCCTAAACGCAAGACAACGAGGCCTCAATAACTAAAAGAGGTACCAAATCCGGCTCAGAATACTCTTGCCAGCATCAAGTAGCCCGTTTTCTGGATCCCGATGTCCTCAAGAGACCCTTTCGCTGATTCTGGAGGCCTTCGTTATGAATAAGCAGTTCTTTGCTCTGGACTAGGAGGTTCGCCCTCATATAAGGAGGCTCTTTTCTGAACCAGGAGGACCTCTCATGCATCAGAAGGTCGCTGCTTCGAACCATGATGCCCTGTTTTGAGATAATTAGTCTATTAATATAATAACATAAAATAAAAATAATAAAAACATAAAAATAATATATAAAAAGCGCGCTGCCTGCGCACCGCGCGAACACGCGGTCAGTTCTAACCTCCGTAGAAGTACTGGTCGACGGTCTTCAGCCAGCCCACGTCGTCGTGTGTGTGTGGTACCAGGTGCACGTTCAACATGTCCTGCTTACCCGCCGGACATTTCTGAAACATAGCCATGTTCTCATGTCTGAAGGGTAGCGCACCCACACTTCTTGCGGCTTGCCGTGTTGCGGCGTATGCAGTACGTGTTTCACATCGCCGCATCATAACGCCTTGCTCGGCCGATCCCCGGCCGTCCCCCGACCTCTTCACTGCGCCACAGCCGTCCGTGAGCGGCGATGGCTTCTCGGGCGGCGCTCTTATCTCGGCGACCACTTCCTGCAGGGGTCATTGACCACTTCCCGCAGGGGTCATTGACCGTTACGTGCAGCGGAGAGCGAATCAGCAGCGCCTGAGTGGTCTGTGCGGCTTATCGCAATACCTGCGTGGTGCCTCTGTTTGCTTCTACGCAAGCCAGCACAAGCGAACTGCGGGCTGCTCCGAGGGGCGTGAGGCCAGGGGCTTTATCGGAGGGCGAAGGCCCCACTTAGCGCAGACTCGGATCAAAAGCCACGCCTGCAAACAACCCATCAATAGATTATATAAATTGTCCAGTGCATTAGCGAGGAACTTTATCAACATAGATGAGGCAGTAGTGTTTGCCTTACTCTTCGGAGAAAAGCAGGACAATGGAGATATAGTTGGATTGATATTTCGGCAACATACCCGTATCGAAGCAATAGCAGAAGTAAATCCGAAATTGCACTGGCAATTTGGAATACACGTCGAATTATGAATTGAATTAATACTGTCGAATTCTATAATTCATACTATAATTAATACTGTCGAATTCAAAATTCCACCGGCAATTTTGAATTCTGGAATATAAATGGACTACAAACATAAAGAAGAAGGAATGTAAATGAACTACAAATATTTCCAATACCAATATCTGAAAATAGTAATATTCCAACCTGAAAATGAAACAAGGCCAAAAGAATAGCAAACTTCACCGTCCCCAGCCATCTTCCGGTTCCTGCATGGGATACCCGCGGAGACGCTGCGCAGGCCCATTTGGTCGCCTAACCGCCATCTTATAGTGTACCCCTGACACATTTCCATCCACCCAGCCTGAGCCTGAATCATGAGGGTGCAAAGGTTGCTTCTCAGTCTCTTGTTTAAAATGTAAGCCGTGTTGCACACGAGCGGACATTCCATACTTTTTTCGTTGTCTTATACAATATCTTAAGGTCGCATCCTTAAGGTCAACAGGGCCAAGGTCAATACCCTGTCGTGACTGACCATCACCTCGTTTTCCATTTTCATTCTACAGCGATCGTACTCACGCTAACCCACACGATAAATGTGTTCATGCCCTCGGACCTCTTGTAGGCGGGGTTACCAAGCACACCGATTTTACGATCTAAGTACAGTTTTACCGTGCTCGTGTCACGTTCCCACTCACATGCATCGTCATAGTCAACGGGTGTCCCCATCCACACACCTGACGTGACTTCCAAACCTACACAGCATATACTTACCAAACAGGTATCTTGTGACCATATTTGGCCGCTATCCAGGCCCCTCCCTGGATAGATAGTCGTCAGGCACCTAAGACGTCGTCGCACCAGAGCTGGTTCATGGCGCCCACCTCACCCGGTCCCGACCGGCCACTGACCTTACAAGTTCAAGGTCGCGCCGACCTTCAAGCGCTCGATGCTATCGTACCCTTCCTGGAGTTGATGGCGGATTCGTGCTCGGAATGGCATAATTAGCGGATCCAAGCGTGTTGCAGCCAGTAACATACCCATTTCGGCTGATGTATTGATGGTACATGTCAACACTATCGGCAATGGCGGTGGCTGTGGCGGGCGGTATGGTGGTGGCTGTTGGTAACAGATCGCCGGATTGGCACCGTGCTGGTCCGATCAGCGGTGACTCGGCGCTGGTCCGGTCAGCGGTGACTCGGCGCTGGTCCGGTCAGCGGTGACTCGGCGCTGGTCCGGTCAGCGGTGACTCGGCGCCGGTCCGGTCAGCGGTGACTCGGCGCTGGTCCGGTCAGCGGTGACTCGGCGCTGGTCCGGTCGGCGGTGACTCGGCGCTGGTCCGGTCGGCGGTGACTCGGCGCTGGTCCGGTCGGCGGTGACTCGGCGCTGGTCCGGTCAGCGGTGACTCGGCGCTGGTCCGGTCAGCGGTGACTCGGCGCTGACCCGTTCGGCGGTGACCTGATGCTGGTCCGGTCAGTGTGCCCGGCAGTGTGCATGCCTCGGGGCAGCTGAACCGAGGTGACCTGACCGAGGTCGCGTAGGAAAGCCAGGGAGTCCTACCTAACCGTTGGGAAGGGAAGGCCAGGCGACCACGGATGTAACAGCATATCATGGGACCTACCTTGAGAAAACAAGTGATCAATGTCTTAACTTTAACGGCTTAACCTGCACTGGAAAAGGACAGGTGGCGATGTCTGGCCCATGCAGGCACTGCAACTAAAACTCTAAAGCTCTAAAAAAACTAAAGCTCATGACTACTAAACTAAAAACTAAAGCTCATGACTAGGCACCGGCCCAGTGTGGCCTCTAACGGGCGTTGAGCCGCGAGTATGGCCATAATTCAACATGCATTGGAAGCGCGTCAGCGAGAGCACCAGTTGTATGCACCACTTACTCACTGAAACCTTCGGACGCCCGCAGTATCGACATAAAGCTGATGCTGGCAGTCCATGGCGGGCAGGCAACCCGCGCGTCGCGTTCCGTTTTTGAAAGAAAAAATATTGGCACCGCCTCTGTCAATACGGCCCGCCCGACCGGCAGGCGAGTCATGCAATTACTACGTTTGCACGCGACACTAAACAGCCTGCGAACGTGAACACGCATAGGCATTTGAACGTTGCGGCGAGGCGTCCATGGCTGTGACGGCAGACAGAGCTGGCTGGAGCAGACAGCACGGTTGGACAGCAGGGCCGATGGCTGTAAGGTCGGGTCTACTGGGTTCATGCGTTCATTGCATCATTCTAATGGCTTTATGCTTCAAGCAGCGTCAGAGCGGTCCATTAAAATTGTGCAGGCCAAAAATGACCTGTTGACCAAAATATAAAAAAAGCCATATGCTGAACAGGGCTGTTTTAACAAGTTAAAGGCTTTCATTCGCAATTTTCATACCGTGTGCAAATCCCAACAATTATCCAAAACGACCATGAACTTCACAATAGTGCACGATATCTTGAGTGCGCTAGAATCACCCAAAGCTTAAGAAATACGCATGCACGACATGACATATGGCAATACGAAAAAATAAAACTAGCGTGCCGAAATGTTGACCAAGTGACTGGAAAGTTAATGAAGTTGATTTGAGCATAGCATCTCGTAAGTACTGCAGTTTTACTCCCCAATGTCTTTTCTATTAATGGCAGGTCCTGATAGCTCACCAATCATGTGTTTGAAATTTGTTTCCAAGATGGGACACCCGTTATTGGTATATCAGGCGATATGCGTGACAGTTGACAAGTTTGTCCAAGCCTCTGTGTGGCAGCACGATGGCATGTTGTTGTTCAGCCGTGTTATTCCTGTCCCGTGTTGTCACGGCCCCCGGTTGCTCAGCGCGCAGACCGGCCTCTGTGGATTATCTCTGCCGCGCAGGGGACCTTCAGCAGAAACACGTGACTGTACAGCAACGGTGGGCCGACAAACGGGCCGGGTCTTTTCTTAGACGAAAACCGCAGGTTTGCGGCAGGTCATGTTCCGCGCTGTTGTCATTTTTACGTCCACCTCTCACTCGGTTTGGGCAACAGTGTGATGCTTTCGAGATCGGTTTCGAAAAACACCACATGATGTACTTGTGACTGTTAGATCACGTCGCGTTACATAATTGTTACATCATGTGTATGCGATTGTAGGTTCCGGCTTTTCGGTTACTACTGTCCGACAGCTTAGCTCATACTTTAAACAAAGAAGAGCGACGTGCGCAAACGATGCATGACAATAGGCCGTTGGCATCAACACCCTTGGAATTGGATTTGAGATTGGTTAAAAACAATAGGGGTCAGGTGTGGGGTTGGCTCGAGCTTGTAAAAGGCCCGGAGGAGCCAGAGCGGGAATCCACTTTGCATACCGGGCGTCGGGATCAGTGTGAACTGTGCTCGACTGGAACTGCGCACACATCTGCAGCTGAGGGCACGCCAAGGCCACCAACACACGGAAATCACTTATCGGTTCTCGCCCCTAGGCTTGTTATATAGCCCGCGTACCCGTCCGTGCCCAATTGGCGAGACACACGCTGGGCGGCACGTGCTCTGAGGACGGATCGGCCGGTCATAACTCACGTCGTATCCACAGATCTGCTCCCGCGGGGCGGCCAGAGCGGCCGCCGCCATCGCCAGCACCCTCAGCCACATCTTGATCCACGTACGGCACCGCCGTTCCCCGTGCACCCTCTCTGCCGCCGGCTCCGCCAGCGACTGCCCGCATCTGTGCAGGGGCAGACCGTATCTCGCCGGGGTCTGGTATCGGTCACACGGGCCGATGGGGGGGGGGGGGGGGGGCGGTGTCCTGTGTCCCGCTACCGCGCCGCAACCACTGATAGGCACAGCAGGGGCGGTGGCAGGCAGCGAATACGGGGGGTGATATGACGCCGCGGTCTGTCCAAGGGCGGGCCCAGGCGGTACGGTATGGGATAAGGTCAGGTAACTTCTGTGACGGGATGGACAACATGCCCACATTTGGCGATGTAGGTGTAAAGGCCATAGATCGCTCAAAAACAAAGCCACAAGACAGACGTCACGTGTCACCGAAGAGAACGACACCACGCACCAGCATCCAGGGGCGCCTTGCATGGTTAACTCGCGTGGTATCCACAGAGCGCGCGGTGCCAGTGTAAACACGAGGGTCACGTTTGGGGCGGCATGGACTGGTGATGAGTGAGTCAACGGCATCTGGCCGCGCACGCCGACTGGCTAACAGAACAGCAGCACCACTCGTCAATGCTGACACAGCAATGCAGCTCAGATCAGCAGCTCGTCCAAACACCAATCGACAACCAGGTCGATGATACTTCGCTGCCGGACCGCCTTGTTCTCATTGGCGCGGAGGGGAGACAAACCTCTGCGTCTTTTGAGGGCGTTCTCCGAGCCTGCTATCCCCTTGGTCGATGAACCTAAAGGAAACCCTTCTCTTTTCGCCGACTTAAAGCCTGGCGTATGCGCGTCGCCCCGTTTTGTCATTCTTATCATATCAAAACCATGTTCAACTATGTTCGCGTGTCAGTTTTTCATCGTTGCTTGCGTGCTCTCTCGATTTTCTTTTTTGCAGCTGCTGCTCATCATGAAGTTTTTTCATACGCATATTGTACAGGGCCGGAAGAGCTCACTGGACAATACTGCGCGTTTAACAATGCACCTACAGGTGTTGCCACCCGACGGAGGACGCCGTGCTCGACGCTGTGGATTGGATACCGGGCGATGTGGCCAAGGGAGCAATATCATCAGTTCCTGCCGTGGGCTTAAGCAAAGCCTTCGAAGGTGTCGACCACGGTGTCCAGAACAGGCCAACGTCGCACGATTTGACAGCAAACGCCGTTTTGGTTTAAGAGCCATCTGAGCGGGCGAATGCGGGTGGTAAGAGGCAGTGCCGACTCACCCCGAAGCAGTGGCAGTGGGACTAGAGCAGTGTCCTAGAACTGCCGACTTTGGGTGTAAGGCAACACCCTATGAGAAGGAATTTTTCACTCCTTTTCCCCATATTTTATGCGAACTTTGTGTAACAGTATTACTTTCAGTTTTCATTCATAATCTGTAAAATGTAAAATTTAAAATTATCTAAAAAATTTTAAAAAATTAAAAATTATTAAAAAAGCGAATTCTTATTGCTTCGAGAAAGGCATGTTGCCGAAATATCAATCCAACTATATCTCTATTCTCCTGGTTTTTCGGAGAAATAAGGCTAATGCTTTTGTCTTATCTTCGTAACTACTGTTCCTCGCTAATGCACTGAACACCTTACGTAATATTGTAATAAATGTTTAACGGACCCATTCTGCATCGGGCCCTTATCGGAATAGCACGAAAGGACCTTCACCGTGCCATGCAATTGCACTACTCTCGGCGCCCTGCGATCAGGCTGACGCTGCCCAGTCAGCAGCCAAATGGCCCTCCTCTGCGAGCCAGCTACGAACGCTTGTTCTGGGGGCTGGACCCTCCGCTACGCATTTCACCACATCGCGAATGTCTTCAGAATAACTTCAGTTGGGTTCAGCTCCACCAAAGTTGGGCTTCGGCAAAGGCAATGGCCTGTCTTCGCGGCAATATAGTGCGTGTGAGCATTTTGCACGTTGCAGCCAACGGGTTTATAGAAAGACAATGCCTGTTAACTGCCACATCACTACCTTCTTTCTGAAAGATATCAAAGGTGACCTAGAAATCAGTCATAAACAAATGAACTCGGTTAAGTGCATGTCACCATTAATGATAACTTTGCTGTGGTTTTCCCGTAAACCATTACACCCACACTTGCTCTACATTTTCTGCGGCAACAATACGGGAAAATTTGAGTTTTATTTGAAATCCCGGGGTCATTATATTTCAAAATTTCTAGCTGCATTCTTTCACGATTTCCAGGGAACTCATACATCTTGATTCAAATGAAACTTTCAGACTGCATTGAAGTGCGTCACCATGCGCAGCAGAAAATGCTATCAGTTAGTGAAGCATAACCGTAGGCATTTGAGCGAAGCTTATTTTGCAGGTTGATCTTTTACTACCCTGTGATGCTGAGGAAAAGCTAGCCCACATGAAATAAGATGTCTTACAAAATATGGCATGTATCCATCCCATGGACACGCGCACGGGTGGCCGGTTGATTGCGACGCGCTTGGTAGGGACAGGCGTCTATGACCTCTGAAATAAAACAAAACAGGAGAACCAGAAACGCCAAAGTCAAGAGGTAGGATGTCCTTTGTATGAATTGACTCGTCCAAGTTTTGGGATAGGCTTGCTCAAAATACCTGTTGACCTTTGAAACATATAATATTAAACTTCAGATCGGCATCCAAAGTACCTTCAGACTTGCTCATGCCACCGCCTCGACCCTAGGCACCTATACTAAGCAAAACTTCACTAGTGTTCCTTTCAGATCGCACCGGTCGGAACGGCGGCGCCGCATCGGTCGGATAAAAAACGGTTGGCATGAGTTATTTTAGGTCAGTGACCTCTTCTAACATAAAAGAGGCCCAAATGAGATGTATGTTAGTGTCCCCGTGATCAAGAAGTTCAAAAACCATCAGAAACTTCTTGTTAAAGCACATTCTTCAATGAAAAAGTGGGTTGGTTTCTACTTCGATCCGACCTTCATACCGACCCAATCTCAATGGCATTAATCGTATTCCTAACCTCAATTGGCTAACTGTCTAAGAAAGTATCTCAGAGATTCATGTTTTCGTTGAAAGGGAGTGTCCCAGCTAGGGGCAGTAAAAAAAAAAAAAAAATGATAGTGGAACCTCAGGACTAGTTACGTTTAATAATAACATTGGGTAGTGTCACTGCAGTACTGTCCAGACGTAGTTCACGTGTCAGTCTCACTATTTTCGAATCCAAGTTGCACTGTCAACACTTTGCAACAGTGTTACGCTTATTCCCTGCACTCGCAACGACAGTTGTCATGACAACCACCGTGCACACCTTCATTGGTGCGAATAAAGGAGCGTTTGCGATTGACCCCACGGGCAAGCGCCGAGAAGCACATTGGTCACATGTGCTTCTCGGCCCTTTTGAACCAATGCGTCATACGGATCATGTGATGCGCCCATTTCCAAACCCAAATTGCGCCTCGAATAGAGCCACTGTGGCAAACGCCACAGGAGAGCGAGCAAAGACAAAGCATAACGTTTCGTTGAATTCACGAAATAAAAGCCGTATCTTCTCATGTCGTTTTTCTCAACAGAGTGTTTCAAGCTAAAACGCACAGCAAATTAAATTTCTTTCTTTCATAGTGGTGAGCATGGAGTCAAATGGGCGTTCTACCGCAGGGTCGGCTGCTTCAAACCGAAAATCTGAGCTTTTCAAAAGGATTTCGAGAAACTCATCTCACTGATCAAATCGTGCGTGTCTGATGTAATAATGAGTGAGATGTGGAAAGGTGGGATGCTCCCTTTAATCTTATGTTGTCGCATCAGTATGAACGGTTCTACAGGAATTGTCTTTGCCGGTAGGCATGGCCTGACTTCCATATGCCACAGGTAAGCCACCTAACCATGTACATCTAACTTTCCACACCTTCACACCCGTCATTCAATTATCTACAGGTACGCAAAGTTTCGCGCGGCCTAGCAGCGCCAAAACTTTGTGAATGGTGTAACCGCATGACCGGATAATATAATCTCCCCTTAGAAACGCATAATTGTCGTGTATCGCTCCAACGTTACCAACGTACCAACGTTAGAACGGCTACGCTGCACCGATCATAAATTATTTTGGAAGACATTCGGAAGGAGGAGCGGCCAAATTGTTCTCCGACCCATGCGCGTGTTAATTATAACAATACATTTGGAAGTCCTATAAAAGCACACGAATTTCCACATCGCAATTACAGGAAATTCGTTTTCACTCTTGTCACCCACTCTCCGCGTCACTCTCTGCTCTTGATGCCATGAGAAAAAAAAGTTGAAAAATGTGACACGCCGCCAAATTGTGTCCATTTTTTTGCATGCCTCGCGCATGTCACAGAAAGTCGTAGCCTTAATAAAGGAGCACATTTTCAGGGGGATGCGTGGGGCATTGTAACCTACTTCAGGGGCAAAAAGGAAATTAGAGTACTGTGCGTAATTTGGCCCTTCGGCTTGGCCCCCAAAACCGGTAGCAAGATCCGTTAATGAAGCCGGGTGTTTGCCTTCCCATAGAGACGTATGTTTCTCGTATATAGCTTTGCATCTACAAACACTAGAAACCTCCCTCCCTCGTAACAAAAGATCGTGGCTGCTCTCACCATCAGATACAAATCGTAACAGCTGGGCGGATAAACGACGCAATTGTCACATGCCTAGGACCATTAGGCAGGCAATGATTTGTGATGTTAAAGTGAAAAGCTCTGGAGCACGGGGATCACCTGAGTCCTTCATGACCAACCCTCAACCAAATTACAGCAGATCCTCCACAACCCAACCCTCGTTGACCCTCAAATGTCGATATCACTCTCGTTGACTTCCAAACGTCAACGTCACTCTCGTTGACTTCCAAACGTCGACGTCACTCTCACTGACTTCCAGACGTCGACGTCACTCTCGCTGGAAGCAGGCAAGACATTAAACAAGCCAATCATTTCCTCATGACATACCAAAAATAGATGTCCATCAAATCGACTCGCTCGTGTGATCTGTTGGATGTGGTCACGAACATTTTCTACCGCGAGTTACACCTGTTGCACTCACCCGAAAAACGCTCACGAGACCTCTGTTATCTCTGC